CCTACTTCACAGTTTACACCCCCACTCAGTGAGATATTTACCCAGGTTGATGAGTGAAGCAATAAAAGTGTAGCGGTGAATAACACGGATTTTTGAAAAGTGCATATTAGTAAGCGCTGATTATTTGGTTTCTGCGAGACTAACTACTTATCCTTCTTTTATACCGATGGATCCGTATGCATATAATGCAAGGATGCTGTAGCAAGAGTAGAGATAACAAACCTAAGTGATTCAAGGCATATTAGTAAAATGTGATTATTCACTACATACCGGATGTATCATGTGTTCTGGGCGGCGTCCCAAGCGCTTAATTTCCGGCCATTTTCCAAAGTTCTACCGTGCCAACGTAGCGAATGATTATGTTTGCCTTCAACTGAAAGTAATAGACAAATACAAATGGAGAAATCGCAAGTGACTATTAAGAGATAAATTTATTCTAAAAATTTGTTGCGGGGAAATTATTCAAATTTTATTTGGCAGCGAGTTTCTTATTTTCCATTTGTAGTTGGAAATTTACATAAACGCGCATGAATACATTTCCCCGAATAGGTGAGTGTGATTACGCACGTGTGAGTCCAGTTTCGTCAATACAAAAACAATATGTTCAAAATATTTCAGTAATAAAAGAGAGCAATGGTATTTAAGGTTCGGTATTATCTGGTATCGAAAGAGAAGGACAGGGGGAGAGAAATGGTAAATTTGGTATAAAATATATTTTATCTATTTTAGAGGAATTTAAACGGCCCGATCCTATTACAAACCACTGTTGGTTACGTGTATAGTTATTAGAAGAAAATTTTCTTTTTATCTCAGGGAGAGTGAGGAGATAAACGATAAGGACGATTAGTGTTCCCTCTAAGGTGTGCGCGTGTGCGCGCGCACACAGCTTTCAGAGGGTGCGCACACGCATAGATTTACTGCGCACAGACGTATTTCGATGTAATGTAACAATGTGCTCCATTGGCAGATTGAGAAAGTCTGTTGTTGGCCCATATATTACCCGGTTAGAACGCCTAAATTTCTTCATTGGTTTTTGCACAAATATTAGTTATTTCCAGAAAAGTGCGCACATACCAAAATTTCTGCGCACACATACTACAAAAAATTAGAGGGAACATTGATTACCAATATCGAAAACCTCGTCTCTCGTCGGGGTCGAACCGGGAATAAGTAAGCGCTATTGTTGGGGAGGGTTATATATTGGATCTCCGCTCTATAGGAGACCCTTATTATCAGTCGTTCTGTCTGTCTGTCTGTGTATCTGTCTATCTGTCTGTTTAGATGTAGCGTCTTAATGGCTGGACATATCTGGATGAAATTTTTCACATGGGTTATCCTGTCACCCTAGTAATGTGCGTTTTATAGAAAGTCCAGATAAATGTTTCGTTTCCATGGTAACAACGAAAAACGCTCCGATCGTTATGAAATTTCTATTTTTTTCACAGTTTATCGCCGTTTTCTCGCCAACCAAGTCGAAAATTAAAATTCCAAGAGCGCTTCCTTCCGCATGGCAAAGTATTCTTTCCAATAAGTCGTCTTTGGTCTCGATACTTCATAAACTGGAGAAGCCTTAGGGATTTCAGTGAACATAATTTCCCCATTTAGTCACAGTATATCAGTCACGTGAGTATGTCAACGGAACGCGCAGCGTTTGAATTGAACTCAACGGAACTGGTGAGCCGGTGCAGGTGTTCTTGATATACGGAATTATTATTTGCTTGAGATTTGATGTACTTCTCGCTGTTAGTGGGTGGTTCACCTAAACGCTGGCTACAGTTTTTTTTAACTATTTAAGTCTATAAATTAGGATTGCTATATCCGAATCAGACTGGTAAGCAGATATCGTTGTATAGTATAAATATGATAAATAAATAATCCTATTAAACCGTGAAGTACCGGGAAAAATGTTGAGTCTTGCATGTATATATGTTCCTTCAGCTTAAGTTGTAATACTGTATGCCGCGGGCCTGGGTGTCAGCGGAGATCCTGGACGCCTACCGGCTTGTATAGTAATTGTATTGCGAGGTACTTTGATGAGCGCGCTTGTTGTTGTTCATGGCAACGGACGTTGCCAGTTATCTGATCCCTAGAACGTTGTACGTCGTCGTATATATGGCACTATGCGTATGAAATCCTGAATGAGTGTCAAACCACCACATGTCTGCTTGAATTGAAGTTTTGAACAATTAGAAAAGTCTTGAAATTTCGAAAAAAAACAATTGCGCTGATGGTGTTTAGTATTGAATGAGTCATACATGGATACGTGGCGAAAGTAGCGTATAACCTTTACATTATTACATATTTTTATACTTGTATTACACATTGTACTTGGCAACCTAAAGTAAAAATAAGAGCCAGAAAAAATAAAACGAATCATTGTGGTTCAATGAAGACAATGAGGCAGGTTGTCGTCACCACTTAATAAATTGTACACGTAACATTGTATTCCTAATTTTAGAAATATTTGTTGGCGGGGTGATCTTTTGGTACCATGGTACCATTGAAAACAAGTTGTTGCTCGGAGAACGGTGTCTCAGGGATACCATATATATATATATAAATTAGGTTGCTGAGAGATGCGAAGTTTCATTTCAGAATGCAGTTTAGTTTGGAGCAATTAGTCAGTTAGGCAAACAGATAGGAAGTGTGTTACATTTGTTCAAAGTGAGGTCGACTGTGAAATAATCAGGCGTTATTTATACAAAGATTGGAAGTCGCTTGCTTGTGGAATAACTGGCAGCTAAATATTAATTGTAAATATTATTCAGACGTGGGGACGGGGGGGGGCAGACGGCTTAATCAACTGGCGAAGCACGGCCTCTCGCCCGGCTAAACCAGAAAACATGATGATATAATAATAAATAATAATAAAACAACACATAATGCAGTTTTCGGTATATGACTGGGTGATAAAACGATACGACCATATACGGTCATCTGAGTCAGTTACCACCCAATGCAAATACTTAATAAATAAATTGGGACAGGTTCTGTTACAATATGAACTCTCAGTACATATATAAAAAAATTATATGCAGAAATATTTTAATCAGAAACAGGATAGGGGAATTAACCAAATGAATTTTCAAATTCACTGAATTTTTGTATGTGGATGGAAGTTTGGTATATAGGATGAATTAAATCACCATTTTAAGAAAAATCACTAACAATAAATACAAAGAAAAGAGGATTTTAGGTTGATAAATTTTGCAAGTCTAGAAATATATATTATAGTACAACAGTATTATAATTTTTTCCCTCATTTTCAATTTGATTGGATGAAGTTTTACATAAATTTGATAGTAAGTGCAAAGAGCAAGCATTGGAAAAAGAATTTAGCAACACGTCAAGCATGACAATATAAAATTAATCTTACAGCAGTATTAAATATATATATATGAATCAATATCACAGATGAACTGTGACAGCATTCTTTAAATAAACTACAATTTTCCATCTTTATTTTTTCGTTCAATGTGTGACGCGTAAGGTTTGGTACAAAAATTGTCAAAATAGTTTATCTATTTTATAATTGCACAGTGAAAATTATATACATCCACATTTCACAATACTACATGAAATATATGTAAAAAAATTATGGAGTCTCAGCACGTGTGCTCAGAACAAATATCAAGATGGCAATTCATTTATCACAGTGATTAAATGATTCATTACACAGTATCACATTGAAATATATGTGAATATGAACTAAATTCAAGACATAGAAAAACGTGAACGATAAAAGAATACGACGTCCATTTTGGGACCAAGTCAGAAATATAATAGGAACGAGGAAAGGACGGACTTAGGTTGGCAACTTTGGTCACAGAAATACGTGTCTCAAACTCTCAAACGTTGTTTTTGTCTGTTTCCGGACGCGTCGCGTGGGAGCGGCGGACTGGTTTGCGTCTCTTTTTATAGCAGAGACAAGAAAATGGATTAGTAGAAAAAATAGGAGAGAGATGCTGAGCTATAAAACTATTTGATTTGCTTGCTCCATAGCGCTAATAAAATACGGAGCCATTCAATGCACTCGCAATACTATGATGTAGTCAATGCCTATATTCATAAATGGCGGGAATTTGAAGCGGGAAATGCTAGGTGGGGTTGCGTTGTTGTAGAATATTAGCATTTTGCGTTGTCGTTGACAAGGTACTGGTATGCACTAGGACAGGAAAATAAGGACGATTTACTGATGCTAAAATATGCCATACTAAAGCGTCTCGTCCAAAAAAAATAATCAGATTTTTTAATGCTAATTAGCACTAACTACTCTTAATTATTGTGAATAAAAATATCAAATAATAAGAGCATAAAAATGGTAAAGTACGGGTGGATTTTTTCTGGGGTCGAAGGTTCGGGGAAACCCCGATACTGGTAGGTTATAGCAGCGGTACCTACCGGTACTGTACTTAGCGTCCTAACGCGCTGTTTCCATGGCTGTCTAGCTAGTCTGTACTTGTTTTTGTTTGTTGAAACGACCTCAGAGTAGCGTACCGTATAATACCAGGTCACCTTGAAATACTTCTAATGTTTTCCAAGCAATTCTTGCCACTAAGTTCTGCTAGACTCATCAAACACCTAGACGCTGCACCGGCCGCTACGACCAGCTACGGTACCGTACGGTACCACATGGGTACCGGTACCGGCAATAGTTTTAGCACCCTCCCTTCGTCATAGGTCAGTGTTGCCGCATGCAGACATGATCAATTGGTCTATTTCAGTATTTATTCTAGGGAGAAATTCGGTAAATAAAATATATATGTTCAATTTTTCCTTTTATTTTACCCTATACTAAAAATTTATGAATTGCTGAATTGTACCGTACCGTAGTCTATGCGAGGATGGGATGTAGGACATGAAAAATGAATAACTATTAAACAAGCACCAAATTTTATCTATCATTTCACAGATGTAAACAGTTAACCCTAGTGATATTATTTAACATTATCGTAGTGGAATAATCTTGAAAGCTTACTGCTGCAGTGCTGTAGGTACTGATCTTATTCTGCATGGATAAGGAATTTTACTTTTTTGGATTTAACGAAGAACATAAAGCAATCGGATAACAAAGGATAGCATACATTCTCAGCGAGATTGTATGCACCAAAATAGCTGAGTAGAGTTTATTTAACTACCACATCTCAGTGGTTGTCAAACATTGACTACCGGTACTTTTAGACTAAGAAAAAACATCGAAGATTATATATACCTGTATATTTACACTGTTGACTACTGTATATTTTGCTGCTTTTTTGCTTCGCGAAAGTCATTTAAAAAAAAACTTGTAAGATTTTAGCTTTTTTGATATCATTGACTGAAAAGTTTACACTACGACTTTGGAAAAAGTTCTGAAAAAAAACAAAAAACAAAAAAAACTTTATTGACACTTTTGACTGCAAAAAATTTACTTTTGTCCTTTGAGTAATTGTACATATAATTGCTCAAGATGGCTAATGCATTCAATGATAAAGACCCTCGCTCCAAGAGCATAAATAGGAGCAATATTTCTGATTGCGAATGTGTAAACGAATCACCACGCAAAATTTTCGAAGATGCGCTCAAAGATAACCACTCTGGAGTTTCTTATGAGATCGAAAAAAAAGGAGAAAGTCAGAAAAGTAACAGCTGTGAAAATAGGTGCAATGAAAATCAAGAAATTGACGAAAAACGAAGCGAAAACGAGCTTTCTTGCAAACGAATGGTAATTTTACCGAAAGAAGAAAGCAAGATTACAGAAATTGCTGCTGCACTAGATCTCACACAAGAGAATGCTACAACAATCCAGCCTACTGTTTTAAATAGAGCTTTTAATGCTTCACTATACCCTGTGGATCCTCCTTCTGAAAGAGCATTCATCACCCAAAGAGTTGCATTAAAAGGAAGTTTGGCTAGTCAGAATGACAACAACAATTCAAGCAATGCTAGTTATATTGATGATGGAAACAAAAAGAAATTTACGGATGATTGCAATGGCAGAAATAATAAAGCATACACTGAAGAAAAGTTCGAAACTTTGTTAAAATCTCATGAAAGCCTTGACGAAACAGAATTTCGTAAAAATGTCGATCAAACATTGATTGGAATTGAAAAAGATAAAACAAACGTAACTTCAATTAAATTGCATGGAATACATGAAATCACTAATGAGAACAAATCGCAAGAAAATGACACGACTGAAAATGGCGTCCAACCACTTGGTGAAATTACAGATGATAGTACGACTCCGGATTATAAAATTGGGAACGATTCGCAAACTTTAGCACCAGGAACGCATCCCGAAAAATCTTTAAAGTTGAAGTCTAAGGATTTGTGCAATACTAGATCTAATAAACAAACACCATCAGTGCAAGGATATTCAAATTCAGTTGGAAAACTTCGAAAACAATGCCGGGCGAACGTTACCCTGTATAATAATTGGAACTTTAGGAGTCATTTTTATGTGAATTTGATAGTTTTTGTGCTGCTACTGGCTTTGAACCCAATCCCATATAAGAAAGATTTCAAAAATCCTTTCTTGAGTCCTGTGAGCGAACACAAGTACAAGATTTACAGGGGCAAGAAGAGAATCCGTCTCAAGAAAATCAGTACGAAAACGTGTCCCGCACCCCCAGATGTGCTAGAAAATGGGACATGTATATATTCAGACGGTCACATCATAGAAGAACAAGCGGAAACAGTCAATGAAGGGGGTCACATTGAATTAATGCAGCCACCGAGGAAGGCTGGTTCTGGAGAGTATGTAGAATATAAAGTATTATTATATTATTGTATCGATCGATTCCTTTTTGCTCCGAACAAAGCTAGATAAAAGCTAACGATATCTAAAGAATCTCTATACATACTTATTTTGCTGTCAAAATTCGAAATGCCCAAGCGCGCATTTTTAACTCTGTCATTTGGTGAAAGAAATATTGATAGCAAGCCAGGAGATGTTCGGTTCTCAGTAAATCGTTCAAGAATAGAGTAAAATGTTGTTGATAAAGGCGAGAAATTATGTCTCACTGTAAATGCTGCGAAATTGTGTTTAAGAAAAAAATTTTGAAAATATATTTTTTTGAGACTCGGGCTATAAAACAATAAATAAACTTATTGATCTTCCCTTCATTTAGGCGCGGACATCATTACAAGTATCAGCCCAACGACGTGGAAGCAGACGGAAAGATTTCTGACATCGCCAGCGATCCACCAGGGCAACAAAGCGTCTACATCCCTCCAGGTAAAATATTATAGAGTTATTGGGTTGTTAGAGACCAGATTTTAACCTTTTCCAATTATCCTCCCCCCACCCCTACTCATATATGAATACTCATACTCACTAATAAAAGTATTTTGTTTATGGGGCCCATTCATCTATATCAATGCATATCACCATTTAGTGTGGAGGGGGGGGAAGATAACTGAAACTCAGAAAAAGGTCCCCAGATTTCTCATGAAATTGAGCGTTTTTGGAGTACTGTATTGCCAATATCAAAATGTTTTGATTTTTGAAAGAATTCCACTATTTTTTACACCTATTTTGCGTTATTTATAGCATATTACCACTTAAAGGTTCAACGAATAAAATAGTTTTTATTCAAAGTGAGGGAGTAATAAAGGGGGCTCCCGAAGTATGCGAATCAAGATGGCGGACATCGGAATGTTATATGTGTAGTAGGTTAGGGTTAGGCCATAATTTTAGGTATAAATACTACGGGAGGCTCTTGGCTAGTCTTCGAACTGATAATAGGACTAAAATTAGGAAAATTGGAAAAAAATTATCGCCTAACCCTAACCTGTCATCCATGTTACGTTTCGATGTCCGCCATCTTGGTTCGCATACTTCGGGAGCACCTAATAAAGAGTTCCAGAATAGGGATTTAGTAGTCAGTCAGTAATTTATTTTTTCCCATGCCGAAAGTACACATTGTACAAACATGATTAAGAAAGATAAAAAAAAATTTCAGGGTGACAGGAGACACGATAAACCAGTAATGGTTATCAAGTAGCGTCACCTAAAAGGTTGGGAACCACTGGATCAATGGTTTAGTAAAAATGCGCCATATGATAGCACATTGATAGTCCTAACGTTACAATTGAAAAAATTTCTTATAAACAGTGTTCTTTGTTTTACCACAACCCCCATTTCAATTTCAGTATGGATAGAAAAGTTTTGAATTACCCAGTGTGAATAAAATTTACTTTATAAATTTGTTTGTAAATCATTGTAGCAATCTTTTGATTCTTTGTTCAACTTGTTAATAAACACGCTAATGGACTCTTTTTGTTAGGGAGCTTGTTAATTAAAATTTAATTACTTATTCAATAGACATTGTGCGTTGTTTGTTTTTGATTACTTTAGAACAGGGGTTCTCAAACTTTTTAAGCTGCGCCCTCCACGTTTTTAGAATTTTTCAAGTCTTGTGCCCATTTTAAAATTACCCAGCTAACAATAAACTACAAAATAGCAGATAGTAAGGCGGAAGTTTTCCTCCCATTGTGGAGCGCGTCCTGCTTGAGAACCACAAGGTCTAGAACATAGTAGAGAGAACTTAACATAACTTGGCGCGGCGGTGTGGCTCAACGGGCTAAGCAGTAGGAATACGCTCGCCACCGCACCTCTAATTACTCTGCGTGGGTTCGCAGGTTCGAATCCCATGCAGGGATGGTTATGTGCGAGAGGATTGCTGGACTCCTCGCCGTCGTTGGGTGGTTCACGTAACCGCTGGTTGGTTACGGCTTCCTCCACCACCAAGTCCATGCTTCCGAAAACGAACAATATAACTAATCCCATACCCGACTTGGAATGGTAACCGGATGGGAGGCCATGGTTCGCCATATGGATAAGCCGTCTTATCGGCTTTCCTCTCCCCCGGGATAAATATGTAAATCCTATCCTATCCTTATGTGCAAAGCATCCTAGGTTACTGAAACTTTTGAGGACAATCATACAAAAAGAGAAATGAAAAATACTTAAAAAAATATTTAAGAAATTCATGGGTTATTTTTTGGTGTTTATTCACTTCGCATATTTGTGTTTCTATTCTCCTAGCTCAAAAATATGTGCATCCTAAGCCCTACAGTTTACGAGTCAATAAATGTAGTAATTCCCATGACAAATTTATGAATGACTATATTTGAGGATTAGGGTCAGGTATAGGTTAATAAACGTACGCGACATTCTCAAAATATTTCAGCGATTGTTCTCACAGAGTTCCAACGGTGGTCTTCATACTTCCCCTTCTGTCAAAATCAGAGATATATAATAATCTTAATTTAATGGAAAATAGCAATAGTTATATAGACTTAATGTACCGTCGTCCGTCGCATTCTCGAAGGTACTGTTCATTGTTTGTACTGTACTGTGAGATCGAGGAATGTCTAACTTAATTGAATAATTGTTTGCACACACGCAACACTGAGTCTTTGTTCTGCTCTATCTCCCCTTTTGTAAATAATCTCAGGAGGGAAAAGACAATAGTTATATAGACTTAATGTATCATAACATTCCTTAAATAATACCGGTATATATCATTGTTTGTACTGTAGTAGCAGAATGTCTGACTTTGTATTAAATGAAAGTTTCTTCTCCCTCAGGGTAAACGTTCTTATTCATTGTTCTCAAACTGTGTCAGAATACGATAATTTATCTTAGTTCTCAAACTGGGGACGCCACCCTACAGGGAGCGCTCAACGCGTTTAAGGGGTTAGTAAGAGTACACCGAATATACACAGAGTACTACATTACGCAAAGAGACCACACTACATTATATAATGTTTTGTTTTATTTCAGGTGATACTCGGAAGGAAGTATATCGTCTATCGACTTTCGAAAATTTTCCAAGCAGTCCAGCAGAACCAAGTGTGCTCGCTCGCCATGGGTTTTTCTATACAGGTACAGGCTATAATCCACATCTATCCATATCAGCAATAGTAATTATCCTCGCATGAGATTCCAATTGAGAGGTGAGGTTGCGAGCGTATTCCTAACGCTTAGCACGGTAGTCGAAGTCTTATAGTCATAGTTAAATATTACCAAAAATGTCTTTATTTAATTTCTGGAATGAAGAGATTGTCTAGAAACATATCTGATATCCAAATCAATTTGTCAAATTATTTTGTTTTCTTGATTTACCTGAAGTATTACCGTTTTGAGCTGATCATATGGCTAAAAAATGTCTTCGTTCAATTTATATAATTCAGGAATGTCTTATTAATAAAAGAACGGTGCTCCAGAAGTATGTGCACCAAGATGTCGTACAGCCTGATTCCTAACCTGGTACACATACTATGTTCAGGTTGTGCGCCATCTTGATGCACATACTTCTGAAGCTCCAAAAGAACTATAAGAAATGGGAAAATTATGCCGGACTGGAAATTTTGCTGCTGGAACAATACTAGAAAACTAGATCATTATGTGTTAGTGGCCACCTATAAAGTTTTTATTCAAAATAACTATGTTTTTTTTACTTCGTAGGGTTCTACGATCGAGTCAAATGCTTTTCTTGCGCTCGTACTGTCCAGGAATGGCGAAATGCTGATGATGCTAGGGACAGGAAATGGCATAAGTAAGTTTATTGACGGGGGTATGAGAGGGAGGCCTAAAAAATGATTTTTTTTTAAGAATTGCAATATTTTTTGCTATTACTTATATTGGTTTCTTCGGGACTAATTACTTATAATTAATTATGAGTTTGTGCTGTATATCAGAATTTCCCCCCAAAAATACATGCTTAGTAATCTCATACCCGACTTGGACTGGTAACTGGACGAGAGGCTGTGGTTTGCCATATGATTAAGCCTTCTTATCAACTTTCCGCTCCCCCGGGATGAATATGTAAATCCTATCCTAACCTAGCATTTGTGTGAACAGATATTTAAAATACTCATACACATCATGGTTTTGTAATAGTTCAATCGTTACTCCTGTAGTATGTGTGCCAGGTTAGGGTTGAGCCATAATTTTATTCCGATTTTCCTTATTTTAGTCTATTACGAGTTCGGGGACCGTCTGTGTTAGCCAAGTGAATATACCCTCTGCTCATAGGTTTCAGTCCCTTTACTCAACTTGATGTAAAGTAGGCAAACAAAATTAGTTACCTTCATATTGGTACACATAATTCTGGAGCGCCTTTCAATCTCATAAATAATAGAATTTATTAAAAATTCCAGGCTGCAGTAGCGTATCTCATTAATTTTTTATTAGTCTACCATTGTGGGAGATCTGCCCAATTTATTCTAATAATATCTTCAAGGCTTCAATTATTGACTTTTATTCAAATTCCTTTTTTCACTTACGTAGCTTGACGGAAATAATTTGAATTTAAAATTCACGAACATGCCTATATTCACCAGCACGGTGGTCCTGACACTCCAAAAAATTTTGCAAAGAGTACACCAATTTTACACAAAATACTATATCTATTGTACCTTTTTGGGTTTTTGATTCGAACACAATCATTAAAACTAGTGTAAAACATAAATCTCACGATTTTGAAAGAATACATAGGATCAGAGAAGCGGTGCGCTTGCATAACAATCCCGACTTTGATCGTAAGACCTGAGAAAGACCGCTCTTCTCGGAACAAGGGGTTGCGCACAATTTTAATATATTGGAAGGAATCGATATTCCATATTCGAAACTATTATTTCAGAATGTAGGATATTCAAAATTGTAAATTATTCTTATTAAAGCCATCTCAGCTTGAGATCTTTATAAGGTCAGTGGGTGGTTAATTTTATAAGGAGACTCTTAAATAATAAGGCTTAGCACCATGGGGGTCTAAATATTATTTGCCCTTCTATTAAATCATAGTATGTGTACATGGTCACGTCTTCCCCTGCCACACAAGGCCACACATCAGTAATATTATTGTTATTTTGGTGCTCTACTCCTTACCACCTAGGGTGGTTCACATAACATTTGGTCGGTAAGGCTTCCTCCGACCATCAAATCCATGCTTCTGAAAACTGGTCAAAATACCTGACTAACTAATTCTGCATAAAACAAATATGAAAAATTTTGATAAGTGGATTATCTTTGCCAGGAAGTCTATGAGATTTTGATAAGGCTGTGCATAACAAGAATATTTTTGTGTTTGAGTGCAGTGAAGATACTCAAACAACACATAAACTTGTGTGGGAGTTGTGTAAATATTTACATACTTCCGACAGTTGATTTAATCTCAGAAATGGAATTTTTGATCAATCAAACATGTTTATTATGAATATCAAACATTTTTCTGAAGGAACGTAATGCTTTTTATATACCTGGTGATTTTAGAATCGAATTGAATTTATTCATTCTCCTCTTGTTGACTTATCTCGGACAAGGAATTTTTGATAAATTGAAAACGTCTGTTATTAATATAAAACATTTTTTGGGAGAAACAAACTTTTTTTATTAATACACAGATTTTTTTAATCGTACTTTCTGAACTGGCTGCGCATTTTCGAATACCTACTCTAGACACATAAGTTATTGAAAACATAGAATTCATTAATTTTTCAGTCCGCTGAGTGTTCACATGCCAACATGTTTCATCAATAATTTACTAGAAAGAAAAAGTAAAATTATGTCAGACTTGAATTTAAAAAATACATCTTCAAAGTGGGGTACTCGAAACCGGGGAACATAGTTTGAATCTTGAATACTTAAAAGAAATGTAAACTAGTGACTTTTTATTGTAAGGGGTGCTCCAGACACATAAATTATTCATCATTACTTGTACTTACTTATTACTTATAACATGGCCATTACTTATTCAGTTTGCTGAGCGGCATGGGATTCGAACCCGAGACGTATAACCTGCGAATGCCACGATGCCAACACAGTTAAGGTCATCACTTTGTCCGTTAGGCCAAGGGTTCTCAACCTTTTGATGTTACGGAGTCTGTGAAGAGGCTGAATGTTATTTACAAAACCCTACAATTAATTTATAAAAACAAACTTTTATTTACCGAATAATGTTCCTGAATAAACTAAAATTAAACTAAAATTTGTTTAAGGATGTATTTGCTGCTTTTAATTGAAAAAATAGTCATTATTTTAACAAGAGAGCTACGCACAAATATATGGACACGTTAGACCAGAGCGAATCAGTCTTTACCGGTACCTTTGACGCTACCGGTACCCTCAAAAAAGTTCTGAATTTCCAGTAGCAAGAATTTTGCAGAATCAAAACGTACAGCCAGTCATGACACTGACTAAAATCCGTGTTCCCATGGATAAAAAATAATACAGCAAAATTTTAGACGAAATATCAAATATCATAAAATTCACGCAAAATTTTGAAATAAATAAAAGTAATAGCCTTCTAGCGAAGAAATTAATCTTTAACCACTGAAAATTTCAAAGCAATTGGTCTGGTATTCGAAGAGAAAAGCGGTTTTTTGAAAACGTGTCAAAGAACAAGAACAACAACAACAACAACATAATATTGAAACGATCGTTATGGCCACTAAACGTGTCCAATAAGTAAACGAATAGCTCGCGGAGCCCCCAAGTTTCTCTCAAGGAGCTCTGTGACTTCGTATAGAGCACTTTCAGAACCTATGCGTTAGGCCATTGCACGGTTCAAACTTACATCTCATTTAATATTTTTAGTCCATCCTGCGATTTTGCGAATGGTCGGCGAACTGATAACATCCCTACTGGCGGAGGATTCACTTCTTTTCTGAGTAACAGCGGAATGCTTCCGGGGAATTCATCTCAGGATATGGACGTACCAGAGAGACAGGCTGCTACTTCCGTGAAAGAAGTGAGATACCCAGGAGGAAATGTGGCATCAGGTTCAGGTATGTGCAATTTTTATGGCGTTTTGTGATAACAGGGTTTTGTGGAAGAAAATACTGACATATATATACGGGTGTTAAAAAAGTTAGGTAAAGTTTTTCGTCATGGTAACGCTAAAAAAATAACTGTTAAAAGCGTCAGTCGAGAAATGTTTAAATGGCATTTCACCGTAAATCAATACTGTTAAAAGGTATCAGTCGTTAAATGTTTTAAGTAGCATTTCATCTTAACTTCCGTTAATTCTGCGTTAGTTTTTTATCACCTTGTATATATAGGAGGTTGATGCGATTCAACACCGGCTTAAAATTGATGCGGACCTGCGTCGGTTGAGAACCATTACTATGGACAAGCCGTCTGTGTCTCGTTGATACACAAAGAGTTTTTTTAACATCTAGCAATGAAAAGTATAATTATATAGATCGTAACGGGATAAGGGCAAAAATATAACACTATCGCTTAAAGAATGTCCCCCGTTATGAGTATATCGAATAAATTTTTAGCGTCATGGTCAAATACTTAGGTAGATGTTAATCGGAAATTATAAAACATTTGGTTACATGCTGTGTGGTGATTCTGCACAGTTATGTAGGTCAAATTACCGCAATACTTCCTGCCTGGGTATTGCAACATTACAGCTTAATGAATGTCTTCCAATATTGTGAACAGTGAAGAACAGTTTTAGTGCTCGGAAATTTATACCCAGAAAATTTTGAAGAGTTTTCAGTTTCCCCAAAATGCCAATTATTTAAAATGGAACTCTTGAAAACTGTGCATAAAATTAAAAATTCAAAATATCAAATTTGAAAATTAAGAATTGGTCCAAAAATTCAATCCAAACTTGGCCTCTCTGAGAAAAGAATTTTATTGCGTTGTAGTTTTTTTTTTGGGGGGGGAGGGGGCGTGTAAATTTCTTGGAGTGCAATTGGAACATTAGCTTTTTATATGAATGCATTTCTCTGCATAAAAAGCAAAACATTTGTTCCAGTACCACGAAATTGTACTTAGAAAATTTCCTAAATACGTCGAACAATAGGCGTACATCGTACAAAGAAACAATTATAAAAGTCTCTCATGGAATTCCACTGTTTAATCGAACCATGTATCCTCTATTTTCATGGAAACACGGAAGTTTCTACATAAGCAGAACTGTGTAGGTCTCGGGTCTTTAGTATTAGGCATTACTGCCTAATAAATTTCTTTCTGTGTGAACAGAGAAAACTATTCAGTGCTAGTAAAATTACACTCAGAATTTAACAATGAAGTCCTTCAACGAACAAGTGTGGAAAACACAACATGTGTGGGAAAATAGAATGTTCTGCAAACAGATTTTTTCACTCATGACAGTACGCATACATCACTGATTGTGTAATTAGTATTATAGCCGCTATAGAATGTCCACCTGTACAAATATACCAATATGGAGGAAACTAATTTTGTTCGCCCATTTAAACATTAGGTTGTATAAAGGGACTGAAACCTAAGGGCATGGGGATATTCACTTGGCTAACACAGACAGTCCCCGACTTAAAATAAGGAAAATCAGAATAAAATTATGGCCTAACCCTGACATGGTACACATACTACGGGAATATCCAAATTTCACCCGTTTTGAAATAAGTTCATATACTGTGACTTCATTCCTGGAATTTTTTGTGGAAGAGCTATTGCAACATTATTGCATACCGTAATCCAAACTGCGTGAAGATTTGTTTCTTAGAAAAACAACCACAGAGGAATGTTGCCAGATGTTAGCACGGACACGTTAATCTTAAATTACATAAGACAAGAAGTGCTTCGAAATTTAGACAGGATTTAGATTTATTTTCTTTTGAAGAATAACACTATGTTTTTTTTGGAAGAGGTCTTTTGTGTTCATTTATCAAAAATAAAATTGTATTTTTAATTGTATTTTCTATACAAAAATCAAGTGACAAATATCATGATTGTGACATCACACAATCTTGAATTGTGATGTGATCTTCACCTCTTCTCAGGTCATTGAACCTTTCCTCTCCCACACATGTTAAATTTATTTTAAGGGTAGGGTTCAATTAAAATCATTTTTAAAATTCAAATTAAGTCTTATTTTCAGGCCAGGTCTTATTTTCGAGGAAACACGGTAGTTTTGCGATGGTTAGCTATTGCTGCGTTCTGTGTTATGTCATAAAAAGTCAAGTGGGTCCGCCATAAGCTGTGGTAATAAAAAGTGGGTCCCAACTCTGAAAAGTTTGGGAACCACTGATGTAGAACATATACTATGTAAAATGTAGAACCTTCTCTCCAATTAAGGTTCAGTGAACACAACTTTAGAGTTTCTGCGGCCTTTGTTCAGGCATGCATGGATTTCGTTGAAGTTTCCCCTTACATTATCACCTTGTATGTACTGAATTCTTAAAATATTTGCCAACGAGACATTTTCTTATGCAAGACTTCTTGAAGGAAGTTTTTTGCTTTTTTCATACGTTTAACGTTTCTGAACGATGTAGCCATTGATGCGTAAAATGACAGAATTTCCACTATTTTATTGAAATGGCATTATGCTGATTATAGCAAAATTCACTAAAAATTATTTTTTCATTCTTACAACAGGTGGAACGTATCAATTTGGACCGGGGACTACAATTCATATAGGTGGGCGATCGGCAACAGCCTCAAATCCCTCTTCAGGTCGACTTAATGCGTCACAAACTAGGGGAAACCCCCCTACACCAAGGGAATGGCGAATGGCAAACGTAATTTCATCAGATCATCGAAGAATGCTGACGAATCTATTTTTGGTCAGAGAACTTGATCGGTAAGTAAGCAGTTTACAAAAAGTCATTGTCAAGAGCGATGCCGCCTTTTATTTTTATTTTTTGGAAATGATTGCTCTGTTTGGTAAATCATGCACCTGCATCCACGGGCAATGTTCCCTCTAATTTTTTGTAGTATGTGTGCGCAGAAATTTCGGTGTGTGCGCACTTTTTTGGAAATACTAATATTTGTGGAAAAACCAATGAAGAAATTTTGGCGTTCTAACCGGGTAATAAGTGGGCCAACAACAACCTGCCAACCGAGCACATTGTTACATTACATCGAAATACGTCTGTGCGCAGTGAATATATGCGTGTGCGCAGCCTCTGAAAGCTGTGTGCGCGCGCACACCTTAGAGGGAACACTGTCCACGGGCCAAATGCGGCCTACATCGAAAAACTGAGGCTCGTGGAGAAATGCTAATTTTGAATGGTGTGTGGCACGGAAATTAGTTATTAATTTAGTCTAATCTGGTATTTCAAGCTTGTTGCATTGCAAAGCTTTTATACTCCAATCTATTATTTATGTCTGTGACATTACAATGCCCTAACAGGTAGCTTGTGCGGAAGAACAACGCATACCATAAGATCAATTACCAAATAAACTATGTTAATAAATAAATAAAGGATTCGTTCGCGGTTTCACCCATTATCTGGCCCCCTTGTATTAAAGGTTGCACTCCCCTGTTCTAGGCTATCGTGCCCACTTCAATTTACAATCAGTAGTCGCTCCCTATTTGTTACTTTTGATTTTAAGCAAAACCCCCGACAATAACAGTAATTCCATATCTAAAATTCCCAATTTTTTTTTAACTAGATATCAGAACCTTGGGTGTCGCTGCTCGATAACCTGCTTTTGTTCCATGCAACTTCTCTTCCCCAGTAAAACTGCATGGTCATATCTTTTTTTAATAGTATTAATTTTTTACTGGTTGGAAAAAATTAACTTATGGAATGTTTTTTCCGTTACAGACTTGCTTCATTTGGCCGTTGGTCTATCGCTCGTCCCAATGTTTCACCCGCAGCACTTGCAAGAGCGGGTTTCTTCTATTTAGGCGATATGGATCGAACGCAATGTTTCTCGTGCGGAGGGGTTTTGAGAAACTGGACAATTGAGGATGATGCATTTGTGAGTATATTTCGAGTTATTTTTTTTATTAAAGTAAGGAAAATACTGATTTATTTTCGAAAATATTATTACAGTACACATTGCATTGAAAAAAATAAACAATCATAAGATATTATCGGAAAGGGCGCGCAAGACTGCAAAGAATGTAATTGTTATGCAAAAATTTTTAACAATTCCAGGACGAACATAGGAGCCATTTTCCAAATTGTCGATTCGTTCTTGGAACGGATGATCGTAACGTACCAATACCTGAAGTTGATGAAACCGCAGAGGAGAGGAATACACAATACCCATGCAGGTGGGTAATAGCTTATCTTTTTATCGTTATCTTATCTTAAAGGTTGTTATCATATTATCTCCTCATCTATTGAGTATCCTCGCAGAATGGCGATAGCTTGTCATTCTTATTACATATCGATTTTAATCGGTAAGTATGTTGATAGATATTTGTCTGTCTGTATGTCTATTTGTTTGTCTGTTAGATGCACACGATATCTCACGAAATCGAGATTGAATCTGCTCCAGATTTTGCATGTGCATTCATCATGTGTAGTACCAGAAGCCTATTGATTTTGGATGAATTATGTAGTACAATTAGCGAGTTATTAGTTTAATTAGTGATGGGACACAAGGTGTCACTATGGAGTAAGAGCGCTGTTTTGGGGGATTCCCTAACTTTCGATCGGTAAGTCTTCGGTCTTTGACCGATATTCTCGTCTATTGATTATCATGTTATCATATATCTCTTTTATTGATTGGATATCCCTGTATATTGGGGATAACTTGTCTTCTCTTTTTACTGTTATCTTATCTTACTGCTATCTGGGAGAATTGAGCTCATCTCTTGCAGACTATATCTTTGCAGAGTGGGGGTAGCTTGTGTTTGGGGGGAGCCCCCGCTTTTCAAATGAAATTGTATCATACAAAGAAACGCTTTTCAAATTATCAAGATCTTTCGAAACCCGTAGCACTTTGTTCTTGCTTTTCTAGGTTTCCTTCCAACCCCCATATGAGAGCAGGCCGCGAAGAAACATTTGATCGAAGATGGCCGAGAGGTAGAGTGCAAGCAACACCAGAACAAATATCAGAGGCTGGGTTTTTCTTTCTAGGTGGGTATTACTAAGTTGAATTATTTCCTGTCTAGAAAATAGGAAGGGGGGGGGGGGGGGAGAAAAAGAGGGCTGAGTTTTCCTTTTCAGGTGGGTATTACTGAGTTGAATCATTTCTTATTCTCAGCATGGTGATGGGTTGGGGTGTGCGGGGGATGGAAGAAGATAAGAGGGGTGCTGGACATGAGCAAAAATCAGATGCAACTCTAAAAGATAATATTTCAAATGAGGATAATCTAAACTATAGCCGTAAAAAAATTGTCTTCCATATTTAGCCCGGAGAAGAGAAAAGATGATAATACAGCTTAATTGTAAGGCGAACCACTGTCAAGGCAATAGTCCAACTAATGCTGATGACTCTTGAGGGACACATCTGGTCCACGGGCTGCAGGTTTTGAACCCCTGGATAAGGATATTCATAATTGGTATCAATAACACGACTAATGCTAGCGATGCTCTGTAGGTTGCATAATGCAGGGCGGCGATTTGGTTTACTGTCAAATCATACAATAGGATTCATATGTTTATCCCGGAAGAGATGGAAGCCGATAAGACGGCTTAATCATATGGTGAAGTCCATGGCGGGTATGGGATTAGTTAGCCGGGTATTTGTTTCAGATGCATGAACTTGATAGCGGAGGAAGCCGTAATCGACCAGCAATTATGTGGACCACCCTTTGATGATGGGCAGTTCAGCAATCACCATTATAACTATATTTGAAATCCTGACCGTAAAGAAATCGCAAAACCAATAACACATTCGAAATATATACACCTCTGCTAACAGTTGATACTCTAGCGCCAACTAGCTGAAAAAATCATCAAAAATATGCGATCAACTAATATTCATATTTTATTCAGGTGAACGTGACCGTGTCAAATGTTGGTATTGTAACGGCGGTTTGCAAGTAAGTTTTACAGTTTTTTTTATAGTAAAATGTTTTAAAACAAGGGCTGGATATTTTCTGTTTCACAGAATACCTTCATATAAGATTGCAAGCAACTATACATATATTTACGGTAATTGCTGTGACGTATAGGCATAAATATTGGCGCTCCAGAAGTGTGTGTATCAATATGGAGGTAACTAATTTTGTTCGCCTACTTTACATCAAGTTGTGTAAAGGGACTGAAACCTATGGGCAGCGAGTATATTCACTTGGCTAACACAGACAGTCCCCAAACTCGTAATAGAACTAAAATAATGGAATTCAGAATTATGCCCTAACCCTGACCTGGTACACATACTGCGGCCCTACGGGGATACCATATTATTGTTGTAAGACTTGAACCTTTCAAATCTATCCTGCCAGGGGAAATCTGTATAGCAAAATATAAATTCTGTAAATAGATTTTTTCCGTTTTTCCTAATTTTTTACTGTAAAATGCTTATTGAATTACAGTAATTATGCTAAGAATATACCATCAATATGCTATTAACAATAATGGCTAATCTATTTAGAAAATTATAAATTTCATGAGAATATTTTTTTTGTTTTTCCTGTTTTTTGTTTACTATAAAATGCGTAATAAATTAATATGCTAACATTATACTATTAATCACAATAATTCTGACTTGTCCAGTGCCATGTTCATGTTATTTTAATCACTTTTTCATGAGTGTGATAACATATGATGGACACAAGACTTGGAACTCTTTTTAGTCTATTCAGTCAGGAAAACTTGCTGTTTTTCATTACTAAATAACATGCAAATAATAGGATAGGATTTACATATTCATTCCGAAGAAGAAGGAAGCCGATAAGACGGCTGAATCATATGGCCTCTCGTCCGGTTACCATTCCAAGTCTGGTATGGGATTAGTTAGCCAGTTATTTGTTTTCGGAAGCATGGACATGGAATACAATATATATAATATACAAATATTCACAATAGAGGCTGTTTATTGAAGTTATTACTAATCACTTTTTTCAGAATTGGGAGTACGATGACATACCATGGGTCGAGCATTCAAAGTGGTTTCCGACTTGTCAATTTTTACTAAAAACTAAAGGAGTCCGTTACGTGTATCGTCATCTTTCGCAAGCTGCACATTTTCCGCGGCCTATAATTGCTCGTCAAGATGGCGGCCAAATTGGTGCGCAAGCTATGGATATACCTCCTGCAATAGGGGGCGGTAGAGTGCAAGCACCGAGCCCTCCCCCCGAAATAGTGGACCCGCAGGTCAGATATTTTTGGTATTTTGTGCCCTGATGTTTCGAGCTATTTCAATATGTGTTTTCACTGCTTTCCTGAGTCTTGTTCAGAGCAGGAATGAAAAAATTAATTTAATAAAACAAAACTAACTTTTTCACAGGAGGAAATGCGAAAACGTAAAGAAAAGGTTGACAGAGTCTTACAAAATTCTGAGAACGTTAAAACTGTCATTGCGATGGGATACGAGCCTGAAACGGTAAGTGACAATCTAAAAAGACGAAAATTGAGTACCGTATATTCTTGCATATAAGACTAGTTTAAAAGTAGAAAAGTTGCCAAACTAAGATTTCGGCTTATATTCGCATAACTCTGATTGCACTAACTCTCTTCTAAAACTATTTGCTGTGATAGGTGCGCACCGTGTGTTACGATTTATAGGTCGGATTATATGCGAGGATGTACGGTATGTATTTATTTTATATGGGAAGGAATGGCGAATAAAAATGCTGCATTTTTGTTGTCCTTTTTGTAAGAAGCATGCACTCTAAATTCTGAGAATGTTTAAACTGTGATACGAGCCAGAGATGGTAAGGTAATTATTTAGCGTCCGGAATGTGGCACACAAGAAAAAATTGTGCAGCCCGGAAAAAAGTAAACATTTTAAATGGTGCAATCTTGCGAAACGAGTTTTTAATTTAGTTTAATCTTGTACGTGCGAGTTATTCCAATCCCTTACAATGCTCTACCAGCTAGCTTGTGTGAAGCGAATAACGCATGTCATAAGATCGATCAATAACCAAAAGTTTTGTAACAACAACTACCATAAAGCCTATGTTTAATAAAGGTGCGGTCTGCGGTTCCACTCAGATATTTGTATCTAGTCCTGTATTGAAGGTTGCACACCCCTGTTTAAGCTAAATATTATTTATTTGGGGGGGGTATATAATTTTTATAAATACTGCATTTTCATAGTCCTTTTTGTAAAAAAGAGTACAGTATAGGACAATCACTGGCTTCTTGCCTTGCTTGTACATGGTGGAAGACGTATAAATATGTCAAGTAGCAAAAAAAACTCACTAGATTGCATTTTCTTTACCAGGTTCGTTTAGTCCTTGAGGAAGCTGCCGTCAATTCTCCACATGAAGAAATATTTGATGGAATGATGCCGCTTCTAGATGAAGTTATGAAAAGAGAAGAAGAGATTAAGTAAGTTTGTTAAAAAAATGTTGGTACTCTCAAAGTATGTGAACCAAAATGGCGGACACCAGAACGTGGTATGTGCAACTAAGCCATAATTTCAGGTACAAATACTACGGGAGTCACTTGGCTAGTCCTCAACTCGTAATAAAACTGAAACGAGATCGGTCAGAGACCGAAGACTTATCGATTAAAAGTTAGGGAATCCCCCAAAACAGCGCTCTTACTCCATAGTGACACCTTGTGTCCCATCACTAATTAATTAATAACTCCCTAATTATACGACATAATTCGCCAAAAATCGATAGGCTTCTGGTCTGAGATAAGATGAATGCACATGCAAAATCTGGAGCAGATTCAATCTCGCTTTCGTGAGATATCTCGTACATCTAACAGACAGACAGACAAATACCTATCAACGTACTTACCGATTAAAATCGATAAGTAATAAGGAAAATTAGAATGAAATGGTTCCGGTGTCTGCCATCTTGATTCATCTACTACAGGAATACCAGAATTTTCCTGATGAGAATATTTTTAATCATTCCTAGAACAGTGGTTTTCAAACGATGGGGTGTTGACAATTTTTCGAGGGGGCTTGAAGCTAATTAAAAATAGAAATGTTTGATTTGATTTTGCCTACTTTATTTTGGATATTTACATCTACGTATTAACCCTATTAAAATAGGTTCAGCATTTAAAATGAGTAAAGTATTTTTAACTTGCTCAAGAATATTAATCTGAAAGTAACAATTCTAACATTTATTTTGGGGCTCCGCGAATAATATTCAACCTTTCAAGGGCTCCGCAACACCAAAAGTTTGAGAACCCCTGTCCTAATGGAAGAAAACTTTTCTTTCATAGGTTCGTTTTAATGTACATGAGTATGATGGCCCAGTAGTGATCCATCGTCATGTATTAACAATTTTTTTTTAATAAAACACACTTTCACCTTAGTATTTGTTAACAATAATTAAATTAATTTTTTATTCCGTGAACCAGGAAGCAAAAGGAGGAAGAAGAGGTCAGGAGAAGAACTCAGGAAATTCGACAACTTCAACAACAAATTCAACCACCTAGTTACCAATCCGTTTCATCAAGTAAGTATACTATACGACCCAATGGTAGCTTGTTCAGACCCTTTTTTATAGCGGATATTTTGGACTTGAAAATTAAAGATCTGAATTCAAGTTGCAATACTGTAAATTTTAATTCTGCATTAACATATAATTCGGTGGTTCTCAACCTTTTATGACTCGTGGCCCCCTTTCGGAGGCTTTTAGCACTCATGGCCCCCACTTTGATATTCCAGAGGTATTAATAGGGTTATTTTCATTGATAGATTCCAAATCCCATTATGTTAAAACAATTTGCACAAAAGAGAGCGAAAACACCCTGCGAAATAACCTTGTTGAGCAGCAAACTAGGAAAAACTGAGATTTCTTTCAAAGTGAAAAGTAAATTCAGATTTCAGCACATCCTTGCGGCCCCCTCCAACTCCTCTGTGGCCCCCTTAGGGGGCCGAGGGCTCCCGGTTGAGAACCGCTGGTATAATTAGTCAATGCACATAAACATAACCAAAGTAACCCTAGAGGCACACCAACATGAAGTACAGAGGGCACATGGCTACTTCACCTTCACAGCTGTTTGTCATGATCAGTCATCTGTGACTGATGACATCACAGGTCATCGTCAGCCATCTGAGAAAATGCTAGTTCCCAGAAATACAATAAATATACAGTTAACAGAAAATTCAGTGGGCAATGCCTAATCGACGATGTGGTGCGTTGTGCTAAGCTTTAAAAATACGCTATCCACACCTCTGATTACCCTGCGTTGGTTCGCAGATTCGAATGCCATCTGGGGTTAATTATGGGGAAGAGTATCGCTGCTCACTCCGTCGCAGGGTCATTCACGTAACTGCTGTTCAGTTACGGCTTTCTCCACCATTAAGTCCATGCTTCCGAAAAACAAATAATGTATGAAATTGTATGTGACTTTCCTATCATTTTAGGTCCTCCAGACACATAAATTACTGAAAACCTTAAATACATCACTGACAATAAAAAAAAATGTTTTCATCAATACCTCAATACAGAAAAGAGTCATATGTCAGAATTGTGTTGAAAAAATATGGCTTCAATGAAAAAAAAATGAGAAATTTACCTCGACCCTTGGCGAAAAGAGTAAAACAAAATGGCGGCAATTCGAAAATTTGCTCTTAACCGATTCGAATAATTTACTGTTCGATTCGACTATTCGATTCGAAATGCCCAGCCCTACTGGTAACCAGACGAGATTCCCTGGTTTGCCAACTTATCAGCTTTTCCTCTCCCGGGATAAATATGTGAATACCGTCCTGTGATTCCCATCCTAATTCGCCGCGGCACACTATTGACCCCTCTTCCCGAAATGAAAATCAATTATGCGCCCATTCTGAATTATACCTGATGTCAGATTCTTTTCTTTATTGCAAACTTTCTACCATTAAATAATTTCAATCCAATTACAAAATTTTTAGAATACTGCGGTGCCTTCCTAACTGCGTTTTACATTCCAGATTACAGCATGCCGTCTAACCTGACAAGCATGGTGACAACGCCTTCCATAAGTTCGGGAGTTTATAATGTTTCAGGTTAGTTATTGAATACAAATTTTTTTTTGGGGGGGGGGGGGTTCATGTCTTGTTTTGAAAACGTTTTAGTCAAGCTGTGGCTATAGACTAAGAGTTACTACCCCACAATAAATGTTACTACTCCACAGAACCCCACAATAAATTTGGGGCTCTGTATGGAGCACTCCGAAAATCTATGCTCTAGGGCAGGGGTGCACAACACGGGGCACGCGTGTCGAATTTGGCACGTCATACGCTCAAACGTGATACGCGAATGGTTTTGTAAAAATAAAAATTGTATTTATGATATGCATTAAAATATCATATTTCTATCAATATCAGCAGTTTTGCAGGACATTAGATTGTTTCAATGAATAAATATTCGTTATTATGTATTAATATTGAAATTTGCTTGATGTGTGTTTTACAGGAGGTAATTTATAATACCAACGATTGTGCATGGCATGCGACAAGATTATTTCGAAAAATTTGGCACATATCCTCATTTGAGTGGTGCACCCCTGCTCTAGGGGGCCCTAGAGCCCAGTTTAGGACCTTGATTTGGTCAAACTACCATCTTTCTATTCTTAGTATAATTTTAAATTCTCATTATTCATTTTCAGGATTTGGAGACAGCGACGATGAGAACCAAGATTTATATGGAAGCATAGCAGAAGCCGCAGGTAAGATACATATCAAATCGGAAGTTTTTTTGGGTGGAGCTAGAACAGACTGGGTAGGGTTTATTTAAAGACCTGGGGCCAAAAATTGTGCCCATCCAGACTGGTGGGCCATGTAAGTGTTACGTAAAAGTTACCTTTTATGAGCAATATTTACAGTGTTACAAAAGCAAAAATGGAAAACAATTGGCCCCTTTACAAAACTAAATTTCTTGAGCTTTTTTTCAGCTAAAACATCAAAATTTGTTTTATTTTGGTTGTGGCAGCATCAGAGGGGCTAGATTGAATTACTAGATTGAATGAGGGATGTCTTACACGCTGTAGTTTGTCCATGTTACTTGTACAATGTGTTTGGAATATATGATCTGGGGTGGAATGTTGACTGGGTAAAATCATTCCCAACATGATTTCCCAACAATGAAATATAGAAAATGATTTTTTTTTGTCTCTACCATTGCACAGGAGGGCGTAGCTCGAAAAGCAGGGGGGGTTCTGAAATTTCAATTTGCCGAGTTAGATCGAAACAGCGAGAGGGTCAGTCTGAAACGTGTGTTTTCACGAGTCTTTAGGATTAAAAGCGTTTCAAGCCACGAAAAATTGCTATTCATGATACAGAAAGATGCATTTAATTTGGGGCTCCCGAAGTATGCGAACCAAGATGGCGAACATCGGAATGTAACATTGTACTAGGTTAGGGTTAGGCCATAATTTTAGGTATAAATACTACGGGAGGCTCTTGGCTAGTCTTCGAACTGATAATAGGACTAAAATAAGGAAAATTGGAAAAAAATTATCGCCTAACCCTAACCTGTTACCCATGTTACGTTCCGATGTCCGTCATCTTGGTTCGCATACTTCGGGAGCACCTTTATTTTTCTACATTTCAAAAAGGGAGGGTCCGACCCCCAAAATCACCCCCCTGATTGCACATATATATCATGTATAATATCTATGAGTGCAGTTTGATTTCTGTTATATATAACATTTCATTATTGTTACTTATCGATCTCGATTGTTAAGTATGTTGATAGGTATTTGTCTGTCTGTCTGTTAGACACTTCCGTATGTTACGCGATATCTCACTAAAGCGAGGTTGAATTCGCTCCAAATTTTGCAAGTGCATTCATCATATCTCGGACCGAAAGCCTATTGAATTTGGATGAATTATGTCACATAGTTAGCGAGTTGTTAATTAATTAGTGATGAGGCATGTGAGGTCGCTCTTGAGTCAGAGCGAAGGATACACGTCACTAGATCGATAGGTCGGCGGCCTCTGATCGTTATCTCGTTTTTGTTTTAGGAGCTACAGGAGGACAGCCGCAACCAATTAATGTCACCCAACCTTCTACAAGTAACTTTAGTATCCCAGAAGACCAAGAATCTATGAAGGTGTGAATCTAACGTTATGTTTGTTTCAATATGTTGTCAAAATTCGGGGGACTTTGACCTAAAAGGAACAGAATTTGAAAAAAAACAAGTTTTGAAAGACAATTTTTGTGTTTTAAACTTATAATTTCTTTGTTAAATACTTGTTTCAAACTTTGCATTAAAAATCTCTGCAATGTCCTTTGTTGACAATCCTTATCAAATTACTCAATTTGGCACAGATCAATTTTTTGAGCATTTGGCATAGATCTCGTCAGGTACACATTTAATTCAACATATTCCGTCTTCTCGAATTGATTTTTCTTTTTTAGGAAATACTCGAGAAAAAGCAAGAAGAAAAGATGTGCAAAGTGAGTAAACTGTTTTTTTCTTGGGAGTGGGGAGGTTTTTTTTTATTCGCGCAACATTTCAATAGTGATAACGGAATTTAGAAATAAAATAAAGGCACCACTACAGTACTGGAATTTAACAATTGCAGTCCTCCTTTTTTTATTCAACGTCTGTTTATTCATGTTAATGATGCAAAAACTTCAATCGCCAATGTTACCCCCCATGAAGGCTACGTCTATGTGACTACAATCAACGTGCCCAAAACTCTACTTTTCTTGCAAGGTCGGGGGGGGATTTTTTTGGAGGGAGGGGATTGTTTATCATACTTTCTAGTAATATTAGTGAATTAACTTAAAAATGGAAAAGCTGACGTTTTGTGAAGGACCCACCTTTGTAACTACAATAACTCCCGTTTATCTCCATTCATATCCCAATCGGTATTCATCAAATTATTGTAGTCACTATAAACATGTGTATAACTGCGAATGCCGCAAAATCGCTTTTAAAAAAAAATATTAATGTTAAAAATTTGTGGGAGGGGGTAATGAGCCCTACTGCCCCGCCTGGCTGCCCACGATGAGGCTACGACATAATACCATGCTCAAAACTCTATATTTTTTTTCTAGATCTGCTTTACTAACGACGCAGATATGGTATTCGTGCCATGTAGCCACATGGTTTGCTGCAGGACATGCACAGAGGCGATTCGACAGTGCCCTGTTTGCCGAAAGAAAATTGAGAAGGCGATTCGAACTTACTTGAACTGAAAAAAATGGCGATAGGAGGATACTGAAACCTATCCAGTGATTGGGATAATGAGCTCTGAGAATCCGACGCCGTGAGTGGGCAATTACTTTCCTGAGTGGACCAGTTGAAGATAATATACTTGGTTACTGGGCCGGAGGCTCAAAACTTATAAAAAAACTACAAATGAAAAATCAAAATTTATATCCATAAAAATTATAATCAGCAGACACAAGTGGGCCGGATGAAACATTTTGGTGGGCCGTAATTTGCCCAGCGCTGCTGTCTGCACAGATCAAGAGTTGTGTTCATGCGTATACATACAAATAGAATTAGGCGTAGCAAATTTATAGGGGTGTAGATTGGGCGTGGAAACATTTGTTAATTCTTTTTTGCAATTTTTGTAGATAGATTCTTTGTGCTTGAATAATAAAGAAACAAAAATCGTATATGACTCGAGATAAGTCGGGAGTGGCGAATTTATAGGGGTGTGGGGTGGCTAGGACAACAAACAAACTTCTGAGCTTTTGGTCAACCGGTTAATTTTGTTTAACGTAACTGCGTCACAGTGAAATGGTGGCATTTTCCGCACCGGTTGCAACCGATAGCCAAAACAATATGATTTACGGTATCACCTCAGTAAAATCACAATATGGAAATTTGAATTGTTTTACAGCGGTTGTGAGCGTTAACCACAAAAACGATAAACCAAGTAAAATTACTTGCACTTATTTACAACACTTATCCGGAAAATCGGTCTACCTACTAACATCCAGTGAATTATATGAAATTACGATATTTGCATATTTTTACTCCGGTCGTAACCAATATCCAGATAATCGGTCGATCAATTAATAACCTCAACTATATTACAGTAGAATCACAAATCAACGGTTACAACCGTTAACCACAAAAGTCGGGTTAACGATTAATCTCTATTGTCTGTATCATACCGGTCGATTATTTTGTTAAGTTTTATGTATCGAAGATTCTTTGTACATACTGTAAATAAATTGTAAAAACAAAAAAAACTTCTTGTATATGATTCGGGATTAGTAGGGGGTGGGAAGTAGGCGTGGCACATTCAGTGAGGAATGACTGTATCCGAAAAAATTGGTCCAGTGACAATACCCCTGGAAAATCACAATATTTTTCAGACGGTTGCAACCGATAACAAAATCGGTTGTCCGATTAAACAGAGGTATAATGGAAATTACGAATTCTGCATTTTTTTTGCAACGGTCATATCCGGTTAATAGTGAGGCCAGTGAAATAACGAATTTTGTGCTCACTGCGCCCTAAACTTTGAAAAAAATTGCGAATCTACGTTCCAGTGCCCGCCATCGTGGTTCACATACTAATAGAGAGCCACTAAAACAATAAAGAATCATGGTGTAACTCACTTAGAAGTATTGGGACTTGTATTTACTGAAATACATAGACCCATTGGGACTATAGAATAAGAGTGCCGCATTACGCGTTACTGGATCTCCGCTCTAGGAGTCGCTTATTCTCAGTCGTTTTTCTGTGTGTTTGGCTGCAGCGTGTGAAGGACTGAACCAATCAACATGAGTTATGCTGTCACCCTAGTCATATGAGTTTCAACTAGATCAGGCTACTCAACTATTTTTACCAAAGATCCGCATACAAAACTTCAGAGATATTTGGGTCCTGTCTTTTCAGAAATTATATTTTGGCAATCTTAAACACGCACTTCCTCGGCCGACTAACGATTATTAGCTAATCAAGATTGTTGTTTATGGCGTTATAGTTCTTTTCATATATATTCAAATCTATAAAAGTGATTTTATAAAAGGAAACTTTGAAAAGTGGGGCTAATGATCCAAAATAAAAAAATTAGGCGCAGTCCGAATCGAATATCCGGAAGGTCCGGATTCGGACCGCGGTCCGCCAGTTGAGTAGCCCTGACCTATATTACGAATTTATATTTTGTTTCCGTGACAACAGCGAAATATGCGCCTATCGTTTGTAAATTTATAGTTTTCTCAATATCTCGTAAACTAATTCGAAAATTAAAATTCCGAAGACGCTATCCTACGCGTGAGAAAATTCGTTTTCGAACAAGCCATTTTCTTTCTCGATAATCCATAAACTGCGTACGCCATAGGAATTTTAGTAGACAAGATTATTTATTAGCCAAAGTATACTGCTCACGCATTTTCGGTCCTAAATTTTGAGAAATATTAGTAGTTTGTGGTTACACTTGGCCATAGATAGTGGTTCGCAGATAATGGTTCTCTAAATAAATCGTTACCAGGGGAATCCCCTGGGTGTCGTAGAAAGAATTCACAGACGAGAGATCACGTGATTTGTTCCGCTTGCCTAAGAATTAAAGTGCGGTGTCACAATCAGCTGTTTATAAGGAAAGAGAAAGAGTGCACAATTCAGCGTTGGACGTATTTCATTTAAATAGAGAATAACGAGCAGGAGTGTTTGACTCCTAAAAATAAAACAAAGAGAGAGAGAGAGTGGCGAAGAGAGGTAAAAATCAAGTGTGCAGCAGGACTCTTAAATCGGATAGAATGTACAGGAAACAATTCCGATGAAATTACGGTAATATGAATTACTGTGAGGTTGGCACTGGACGATTGTATGGCCAAGATATTGTTGAAGCCCATTATCGAGCATGTCTTTATGCTGGCATCAGGATTTGTGGCACAAACGCAGAAGGTAATGCCAGCACATTGAGAATATCAGGTTGGACCTTGTGAAGGTATTGAAATGGGCGACCATTTATTAGTTTCTCGATTTCTCCTTCATCGTATCTGTGAATACTTTTATTGCGTAACATCTTTCCATATCAGTCTAATGTATCATCTTAAACTTTTTTCTGGCCAAGCATCCCAATTCCGTCGAACGGCGTTATTTGAAAGTAGACCGAAAAAATTCTCAAACAAAATAACATTTTTATAATGTACCTGATATAAACGCTTTGTTGTTCTGATGGACCGCTAGCAATGACAGAAATCTTTTCATCTCCTTCCGCGTCATTGAGCTGATACTTGCAATGTTGTCCGCGCCTAAAAATATTAAAGAATATTAAGTTTATTCGTTCAGTTGTAGTGAAAGTGTCTTTATTTGTTTATTAATAAATATTATTGAAAAATAAAATGGCTTAATATATCTTTGTCTCATTAACTAGTTCAGATAAAAAAAATTTATTTTTAAATGTTCGCCCCGGATAAGTCCATGTGTAGGGCTGGGCATTTTCGAATACCTGATGATTTCAGAATCGAGTCGAATCTCGAATACTTGGGAGTCAATGAGAGATATGTAATTGTATGTGTCTTTTTGGAGTAATTGGTCCTGTTAACACATGAATTACATAAACATAAAATACATCAGAGACAGATTGCTGAGGTTTTACACACAATAAAAAACACACAGAAAATAGTCACATGTCAGAATTGCGTTGGTAAAATATAGCTCCAATTATAAAAATTCACCTCAACCATTGGTGGAAAAAATGGATGAACCGATTCGAATAATTTACATACTCTGTTCCGGTGTCCGACATTTTGGTTCACATTCCGGGAGTGCCTTTTTTATATGAAATATTGAAAATTTGTAAACGTAACGGCAGGGTTTATTGATTACTATGCGACTACCATTTTAATGACTCATAGTGGTTGATCTGTTTTCAAGGTTTTGTTTACTTTTAGTGGAGCGTTAACCTGAACTAATTTGTCATCACAAATTACACATCTGGGGTTCGAATTCTAAGCTCACCGTCTCATCAGGATGTGATAAATTGAGTATGAAATGCCAACTTAACAGATTCCTGTCTATGTTGCTACTTACACATAGTGAGAAATCCGTGGTTCACTGTGCAGGGCCTTGTTTAAAGCAAAAATAAAATATGTAATGATAGTCCGCGTACTGAATTCGCGTGGTGCGTTCGGCGCTTACGACGAAGAAGTAATAATGTTCAAATAAGCGTAGTTTGGGGGTAGAACAGCGCAGTAGGCGAAATATAAAAAAAGATATATGCTCAAATATATGGACACGTAGCGCCACCCAGTGGGAATAATTTTGATGACGTCATATCGAAAAGAAGTAATAGCCTTCTGGAGAAACAACCACTCAGAATTTCAAAGCAATTGGTCCAGTAATCGGAGAGAAAAGCAATTTTTTAAAAACGTGTCAAATAACAACAAGAACAACATAACAACAAAACGATCACTATTTCCACTACAAGTCCAAAAATAAAAATAATAAATAATAAAAAATTTATAAGTTTTCGAGGTGTTGCTGGTAAACTGCATTATTTTGTTAGTTAACATCTGATGCATCATTAATACTACATACATCAATTAATCAATAATTATATAAATAACGGAAAACGTGACACATTTCTCTCTATTCTCTAATCAGCTGTTTCTGTGGAATGAGAGAGAGAGAGCGGATGGTGGACACCGTAACGTAGTATGTGTACCTGGTATTTCAATTTACCCTATTCTATTACGAGTTCGATTGACCCACGTAGTATTTGTACCTAAAATTATGGGCTAACCCTAACCTGGTACACATGCGACTTTCCGGTACACAAACTACGGGAGCGCCCCGACTTTTTTGGTATGAAATGTTAAAAAAGCGTGAACGTAACTGCATTTGTAGGGTTTATTGATTACCATGCGACTACCATTTTATTGTGCCATGGTGCGTGCGGTTGATCCGTTTACAAGATTTTTTTTCACTTTTTGATTAAACTTAACTAAGCTGTCATCCCAAATTACACATCTGGGGTTCGACTTTTAGGCCCACCGCCTCTCCAGGGCGTGATAAATTGAATAGCCTATGCCAACGTGAATGATTACGGTATATAAAAGGTGGCCACCGGAGAGAGAACAGAATAAAAAAAAGAAAACGAGAGAACTCGCTTCAATGATCATAAATGTTCCCCTACTGCAAGTTTGAACTGACTGCAGAGTTAGATTGGGATCTTGAAAGACGGTAGGTATTGTCAGAGCAGAGTTAATCCGGTAGAGTCTGTATCTGTAATGAATACTATTCCTAATAACAGGCAAACGGAAGAGAGGCCATGATTAAATCGTCTCAGCATTTTCACTTATCGTAGTGCTCAATGTGAAAATTTTTATCCTAAATTAATCTTAGAGTCTGAGTATACGTTTAGCTTTTTCGTGAAATTTTCTCTTCAAGTAAAACGTTGAATTTTTTTAAGAAAACAAACTTGGATAATCTGGATACAAACAAAACAAATAATTAATTATCGGGGCAAGATTTAAATGAAATAAATTGTTCAGAGGAACAACGATTAACACATGAATTAGGCGGCATGTCTCAGTAGTCAGGTGTAGTGTAGTGGTTAGTGCGTTAGTTAGTGTTCCGTAGGTCGTGTGTTCGAAATGCGTTGCGCTCGGTGCTTGCGACGACTAAGTAATGAAGTTCGAATAGTTAGAGAGTATAT